TATAAGGGGTATAGTAAGGAGGGATTTATAGGATTAAGGGTGGCGTGATCGGTATGGTCGGTGGGACCTAGGTGGTCGGGACCCTCCTCGCATCAGAGGGGGCTGCAAAACTGGAGTTCTCGAGGCGTGGGGGGGAGGAAATGTATTTTTATTTTCATAAAATTGTTCGGTTAGATTCCTTTCCTCCAGGAAGGCTGCTTCCTTGGTGGGTGGACATCTATGCCCGACGGGCAGGATAAGCGTGGCTGGTGTTTTTCCTGCTTCTCGTTGTAATTTTGAGAAGGTTAATGCTGTCTGAAGGGACGCTGGGTCTACCTCAGGCAGGGTGGGTTGCGTAGGAATTGGTGGATCGGTATCCCACCATTCGTCGGGCCCACTCATCTGGAAAGGGGAGAAAGAGAGATTAAGATGCCGTAATAGACAGGAAAAATTTTAGATTGTTGTGTGCGCCGAAAGAATGGATAAGTTCACTTGATAATTTTAGTGGAGGCTGAGAGGGGGAAAGTGTGGAGGCTTCAATGGGTGGAATCAGTGAGGACGTCCATTGAAGTGACTGTGATCTTTTTTTAAAGGCAATAAAGTAGGTGAAAGAGGTAGAAGGGGGAGAAGAAGTCAATAGATGGACGGAGATAGAGACAGACAAATCTTCATGTTCAGTAACGCACACGAAAAATTTTTGATTATAACAGGATAATAGAACGGCCCATTTTAGGGGAGGAGTGTAGTTAGAATGAATGCCCAGGAAAAGGAGAGAAGATCGGTGTAGGTCTGGGATTTGGGGGTGAGCGCTGAGAAAATGGGAAGGGAGGGTGGAACGTCCCCCTTCCCAAACACAATTTTGGGTTGAGAAAGGACAAGTTATAGGTCTAAAGGGACAGTTCCATTGGTGCGCTGCCCGTACGGGTTCAAGAAGTAATTCGTTGCAGCCGTATTGGCGGTGCTGGCACGGGAGTCTTAAGGTCGATGTTAGTTGATCGACAATCAAGCTCCGGATGTTCCCCATTGGCTCCCGGCAGGTATGACAATTGGTAATGCGCAGCTTGCAGGTAGAACAAACTAGATGTCCATTCACGCACTGATAGGCTGGCGCTTGGATTACATTATAACAAATGGGGCAGCTCAGCATTGTAGCAATGGAATCATCTGCGTCGGCGGATGCCATGGTGCCTATAAGGGAAAAATACACATAAGGAGATGGCATGAGGCGAGTTTTTAATAGTAGATATAACTATATATATCAATCCAAAGGACGAGGAGAGATAATACCGGAAGAATACAAAGATTTTGGTTATGGGCTAACGTTGGTTATTAGTACGACTGAACAATAGGTTTCCGACTTCGTGGCGCCTGGTCGCTCTGAAGCGGGACTCCTCGGGAGGGGACGTCTTCGGGTCCCCTCGAGGCTGAGTTTCCCTCCTCTCTAATAGTCATAGGTATCTCTTCCGGATCGGATTGAGTTGAAGGTGGAGGGACCGCACGTCGGGTCTTCTTATATCGAATATAATAATATCTAACTCCAATGAGACAAATTACCCCTATAATGAATCCTAGACCTCCGATAACAATATTTATGATAACTAGAGCATCACCCTGGGGAACTGATCCACTTGTTCTTCGAATCAAGTGGTTAAGGTCATATTGGACTACCGCCAAATCTCGCTCAGCTACTGTTATATCATAATTAGGATGGACATCGGAATTNTTAATAAACAAACAAACATTTATTTAGACAACATAATCCTAACATACAAAGACTACCTACTTGCGCGTTATTCGAAGGCACCGCGCCGAGAGAGAGTGTACAATATTGGGTCATACCTCGGATGAAATTTCGGTCTATGTCTTGCTTGAAAGGTTACTCGGGTCGAGGCTCTTGAGCGGGTAGGTATGCGGTCGTATCTCGGGATCGTGCCAGGGTTCGTCGGCGAGGCGGTCGGGTGACGTCCTGGATCTGGGTAAACGAAAATCGACCCCCCTTCCGTGCGGCACCTGGTCTTTATACCTTCGGGTCTCGTGGTCGGGTTTCACCAATCGTGGATTTTTTCCAAAAGATGTCCGGGTGATTCAGTTTCGGGTTCCGTTGTGAAAGGAAGTTACTCCGGGGCACGGAAGGATAGATTTCCTCCCAGGGAAAATTTTAACACAAAGAAAAACTGAGAGTTTCGATGTTAATAATAATTGATTGTTTAATATCAAACATTTTATTTTTATTAACTCGGTCTATTTCTCACACATATATTTTTATAGTTTAGAGTAATTTATGATATTTCTAGAAAGACAACCAGGTCCCTAGATCTCTAACGGACATCTTCGAGTTCCTCGCCTTTGTTAACGACGATTGTCTTAAGCTTGTGGTAAGTCGCCATGTTCAAATTTAGATTTTTTACTTTCATCGGTTTGAATCGGAGCTACGCTAATTCAATAGTTTGCTAAAAAAAATGTATGTCAAGATATTACTTAAGTATTACTAGTCATTATACAAATCAAAACGAATGGACATTTTATTAACTTATTTGTACATAATGCAGTTTAACGCATTAAAAAACAACCTTCTCTTACAATGTATTTATTTAAAAACGAGCAGTTATTTATTGTGACATGGACACAATGCGGGAATCCAATTTTAATCATATTTTTAATCTATTTAATTTAAAATACATGCTCTTCGCCTCAAATTAGTAATGGCTTACCCCTGTACATCATATTTTTCCTTTATCAATAGATCGTAGATTTCCTTTATCGTGCCAGTCATCTATCTAACACTTTTCAGGGGAAAGATTTCATCTATCTAACTTCTTTCTTGTGATTTAGAAATGACAGACAGACAGACAGTCGGACAGACGACAGTGGGAATTCACAGCTATACAATTTTTTTCAAATTGCAGCACAAAAATATAATATTTTGAAAATATATATCTAAATAATAAAAAGGCATGTAAAAATTTTTAATAGAAAAAGTTAACCATCATCAACCAGCGAACACCTTTTTTTTACATGTGAGCCATTTTATACAGACATATATATATATGCATTATAGTCCTCTCACATATCTTTATATTCAATTATTTTCCTAGAACATACTTTTACTAGGAAGTACTTATTTCCAGAACGAACTTGATTTTCGTTTTTTTTCAATATGTGTAGCCGAAATATGTATGATATCAATAAGTAAGAAAATATCGAAATTAAATTGTATATGCTTTTACGCTAGATACGTAGATGATATATTATTAATATTTGATTTAAGAAATTATAGCTAAAAAATAGAATATGCCAACACAATAAACCATAATATACATAATATACAGTTTATGTATGAAGTGTCACGATTAGAAGGAATAGTAAACATTACACTTTCGTAAGTACGAAAAACATTGTAACGTTAAAAAAATCAATTAATTATAAATCTTATTTTCCCGTAGATATAAAACGGAATACTTTTCTGATGAAATTATGAAAAATTCTAACAAGAACTACACTTTGTAAAGAAAAAGAACTTTTTAAAAATATATATATGAAACAGTGATTTTGGAAAGACTATAAGTAAAGGGCATTATAATTATTTGACCAACAGCTTTAATGTAAAGAATGGATAAACAACTAGTCGGTATGTTCTTTCCCTATATAAATTGTTTATACGAAAAATATGAAAACAAATTTAATGATATTTCTGTACATATTATTGCTTCCCTAAAAATTTGGTTATCTAGTGCAATAAAGTTTGTTTTTAATAAAGTAGAAAATAAAAAAGATGTCGCGGGGGTTGTATATAAACTTTAATGCACGTGCTTTCAACGAAACTGTTACATAATAGAAACAAACTGGACACTGGAGAAGAGACTAAAGGAAGATGCATCCGCTATACGTCTAAAGTACAAAGAATTTTTTTGGTATCAACAATGCAGTAAATTTAACTGTAAAATTGATAGAAATAATATAAATGTACTGTGTAAAGAAAGTAATATAATTAAACGTCGCTTAAAAGAACACTACGGCAAAATGAAATATGTAAATACTATAAATTTAATTACAGGAATGTCGATTGATGCATGCTGAAATAATATTGTAAAGTATAATAGTACTGATGTAAAACAAGTATCACTTCGGGTCCGCCAGTGGCCAAGTGGTTCCGTTCCCTGAACACTGGCATTTAGTCGTGGTTTCGCGCCTCGCCAGGCTGCACACTCCATATAAAACCAATAAGATAGAGAAGTATCCCTTTCCACTGATGAGGCCGAATCACTTTAGAACTCTATGCGTACTGACACACTTCTGTAGTTTCACTTATATATAGACTATACTTGTGTATGTATTTAAAAGCGAATGAAGTCGCATTTTCGATTGATCAAGTATATATCTACATCAAATCACGTTCGAAATTTAGACTTGTGTATGTGCAGAAAAGTATAAAAATTTGAATATGCTTTGAATTTATGGAACAATTTACGATTTTTGACCTAGTGATTTTCTTATTATTTGGTGTTCTATTATCAAAATCGTTTGTGTTGTACAATAATTTGTAACCTAAATCAATTGTCTAAACGTCTATATTTTATAATAGTATAAATCTTAAACTGTATTTATAACGTTTACATTTATTAAAACTTTGATATTTGACTATACAAAAAATTGGCCCAAGTTTTTTGTATAGTCATTACAGTGTTAATAAGAATTTTGAAGTTCTTCATATGTGAGGATTTTTGGGTACGTCTTTGTAAAAATTAAAATACTTTTATTATCAGGAGTGAAATGTAGGGTATACGTAATATTTCAGAGTTCAAATAACTTTAAGCATAAAAGTTTATATCAATATATGTCCAAGACAGCATAGTTTTAAAGTTATAGATTGTTTAATATGTAAGCGGAGCACTCATCAACGGTGTGGACTTTATCGTTCTTTTATTTAGGAACTTTTATACTTAAAATTATTTAAAATATTAATCATTTAAATCAAGTATGATTAAACAATAAAATATTGAAAATGTAACATTATATTGAATATGACATCAGAAATTTTATTTTATTTAAACTGTGTTACAGAATATTTTTATCGTCGATTATCGTCTATATGAAATAATTCATAAATTTTCACTAATCTGTTTTAACGCCCACACTTGAATTATTACGAAGTTGACAAACTGAAAAAGAAAATATTCATATGTGTTAAATAGAATCTTTTAAGGGAATTAATTGAAAATTTTTATAAACATACAAAACTTTCTAGTAATATTTTTTTCAAAACACAATTGTGAGCTCGCGGATTTTTACGAGCTTCTTAAAAATCTAAATTTTCTGTTAATTATCTTCGTAAAAAAACCCTAAGAATTTGAACTAGATCTGATTTCACCGATTGTAATAACAACTAGCTAGGAAAGTTTACACTTAAGTGTGAAGAATGCACCGTCATCGTCAACAACAGTCGATGACGTGTCAGCTCTCTCGCGACAAGGATATAAAAAGGGAGACCACCGGAAGCTCAGGAGTTCGCTCACGGAGGTTATATTGGGTCATAGTGATTTCACGTCTCCCGCATCGGTAGAAGACATCGACCAAGTCCAACACTGGCATAAAGAACTGTTGTCGCAACATATAGTACTTCGAGGTAATTATTTTGAACCAGCGAACTCTCTCTCTACGCATATAGGAATAGTTGTTAGTAAACCCTTTAGAGAAAGGATAGATTGTATAATTGCCATAAGCGTACTTATGTTATTTGCATTTATTCTTAGATGTAGCCACCCTATTGTAACCTTTTGTATTGCTTAGTTACTTGTATAATAAATGCTTGTTTAGTTTTAAACCTGTCTCCTGTCAATTAAAGACGCCTGCCGACTTGCTCATCTCCCTCGCCACTCGATAAAAAGCCATTTTAAGACTCCGAGATCGGGTTTCATCAGCCCGTGCAGAGTAAGGGGTCATTTGGGGATTAACCCGTGACCCACTGCTAATCTCACACAATCTATAAATGTTATAAGCCAATGCTGAAAGATTCATTAATACGGTTATCGTTAAAATCAATGAAATAAATGTTAAAATTTAAATAAATACGAACGGAGCAATGATTATTTCAAATGTTACATTATAAATGTGAAAGAGGATATTTTAACACTTTCTTCCCCTGTGAGCAATAAGAGGGCCTCTTTCTGCAAGCTCATTATGGGTTTGGCCAGGCCCCCAATGATGTGGCTGGGTGGTGAAGGATTTTCAGGAAGTTTTCTTTCGGACCACTCCCGAAAAATTCTTGGGAATTTATCGATCCGTCCAGTTTAGTCCCTGGTGCCCCAGAGCGGTAGGCTGCCACCTTCATCGGTTTGCCATTCGGCGGTCGATATGAATGTTTAAATTCCTGTAACATCACTTTCAGGCTCATTTTTTCTCTTGAGTGAACTTTAATTATTAAATGGATCGTCGATTTATAATGTAATAAAAAATATGCATCATACAATAAATGCTCCAAACCAAGTTTGTTTGACACAAGAAAACTCTATCCGTTCATCGAAGATGGCACTACTAACGGTTTCTTTATTCATACGCTGCAACAGGATGCATGGTAATATGTCAAGAGATGATGTCTACCAGGAGGACTTTTATAGTTAACTGAAGTGGCTCCTATTTATGTGTCACTAACGTAAAAAACCCGGAAAACTTCAAGAGACAAGCCCGTTGACATGGCGTCAACCGTTTACGAGTTACCAATGAGAAGTGGTTTTCTTTCTCTAAGGCCATATGTTAGAGCTGCTGTCGATAAAAATGAAGTCAACTTCATTTTTTAAAACGATATCCCAATTTTTATTGCATATTCTAATTCGGTATAAAAATATAATATACATTTATAAATAGTATTTTAGAGTGATGTAATTATCAGAAATTAAAAGTGTTTAATGGTGAGTATAGATTATAGACGGTTTTTGAATTATTTTCGATAAATTTCAAATGTTAGATTATGTTTTACGGTTAACTAAAAGTTGACACAGTATTTACTTATAGGGAAATTAAAACTTTTACGAATTCTTGTAAATTTTACATTCATTCATTTCCTGATAGAAAAATACTCCAGTGTTATGACTTTTCATTGCATTATTAATTTAATCGTGATGTTTCTAAATTAAATCTAAGTTTCAAACACATTTTGCAAGAAATCAAAATGCGTAAATTGATAATTTCGCTGCAAAATTCTTCACTTTATTCTCAGAAATCTTGTATAAAAATTTTTGGTAGTTGAAAGTATTTGCATGGTAAACTGGAGGGGCAATGTTGCGTTAGTGGAGTCGCATTTAATAAAGCTTTTACTCGTTATAAACATTTAAAATGTATTATGTAAAACTCACAAGATTAAAATGTTGCTATTTTATAAAAACTACTGATATAATTTTTTTTAGCAAAATCTCATAATATATGGCGAAACAGTCGATTTTAATTTTGTGCTGAAATGACCTAGTGTTTTGCCGGAAAAGTTACACAACTCGTTGCTGGATTTTTATATATTTGGCATGATAACGTTAGAGCAATAGTAATTCTATACAAGTTCTGCAAATTTGCTTCTAGTTGATTGCTTATAATTTTAGCTATAAACAATAAAAGCGCAGGGAAAGTGATAAATTTCTTATTTTACAAGAATATATTCAAACACATAATTGTTTCATAGAAGTAAGATTAAATTAAAGTAAGAGGTTTCAACATGAAGACGAATAAGAATATTTTAACACAGAAATAATTATGAATATAAAACAATCAGTTATTAAATGTTGACGAACAATTATTTTATTATGACATCGTCACAATGCCGGGCTTCAATTTTTAATCACATCTATAATATAATCAAGACGGGTTGATAATAATAATGATAATAATAATAAGTGCAGAGCCCAAACGGTTAGGAGTTGGAAGCTGAAATTTGGTACACAGATAGGGTACGTCACGAAAACGCACACTAAGAAGGGATTTTTCGAAATTCCTCCCGGTGGGGGAGAAAGACAGGATTAAGGCTTAACACTTCCATCAACAATGGAAGTGTTAAGTAACAATGGCGGTGTTAGGTAACAATGGAAGTGCTAAGTAACAATGGAAGTGTTAAGTAACAATGGAAGTTTTAAGTAACAATGGAAGTGTCAACAATGGAAATCTTACGTAACAATGGAATTGTTAAGAGAAAGCGACGTGCGATACGCAGATGCAGTTTTTT